AATGGTTACCCCAAACCAGATAGATATAAGGATGATAACGTATAATCGCTTTCAGTAACACTGACAGACTATCAATAGGGTTATAATTACCTCATTATAAACATATCACATCTACTAAAAATGGAACAGAAATGTAAAACAACTACATAATAATGTTGCACAACATGAGGTGACAACAGAGGACCATCCAAGCCAAAACACAAACTGGCCACAGATGAAATTAAAGACAACTCTAATGAATATCAGAATACAAAATCTGGGAAGTAAATGAAAAATTCTTCCTGTCCAACTTGATCATGGGCCAAATACACTTGGACAAGTAGTGCTTCTTTAAAAGGAACATTATGTAAAAAATGTCTTGTAATTTTTTGCAGGAATGGAATATATGTTTTTTGATTCAGTGAATAAAAACGTTAATGAAATATACAGTCTTTGTCTGTCTATCTATGTATAGTATGTCTGTATGCCATCGGATAGTTTATGCTTTTAATTTTTTTTTTTTTGTAAATGTATTAATTTTAATAATTTACATGTTTTCAGTAGACAACAGTTAAATCTCTAACATCTCAGTGTCAACCAAACTAAGCAGCAGGCTGGCTGCCAGCACAGGAAAGAATAATTTCCCCTGTCATTATTTATAGCTACATTTCTTTATTATCATGTACTTTCTAGAAGTGGATCATTCACTTTTACCTTGCAATCAAATATTGTATATACAGTTTGAAAATGGGTGATGCAGTCATATAAGGGGCCATTTTAAGCAGAGTTGTTTCTAATTCAGCTAGCTTATTGTTCATAGGCAGAAACTGTGTTTCTAGTTGTGATGGATTTTGTTTGTCAAAATGACAAGAACAGCAGTTCAAATCATTTTGTCTGAGACAGGTACCCAGGTATCAGATGGAGCTGATGTTACAAGGAGCCAGTGTAGGTCTGACCTCACTTTCTCCAAAAGGCATCAACAGGAATCCTGCGCTATCCTTCCTAACAAGTCACATTTTTCATTTAACTTTTTTTCCTGATAGTAAAACAAATAGAAATAATGCTAAACTTGAATTTTGTGGAAGGGTTCATAATTAACTCAAGAAATGCAATGGAGTCATAAATCAGCTACTCATTGTCATTATTAACAAGTGCAAACATTTTTTTCTACCATCTGCAGGATCTGTGCTGATTTTGTACTGTGTTCTGGTCTATTTATATTTATTAGGAAAGTGTTAACATTTAATTATTTTAAAATAGAAGACTTTTATTTTTTTCCCATTAACAGAAGCTACTGTGGAAACTAGTAACAAAGAGCTGGGGTGAAAAGATGGTTAAATTAAGCATGGTGCATCCTGTTTATACTGACTTCTTCTCATTTAGAGACCTGTGTGAAACAAGATATTGTAATTCAGGTTCTCCTTGACTCTCTGGAAATTACAAGAAGCTGTAGGCCATGTTGAAATCTCTATTTCTATCAGAGTATTTAACTTCTGCATAAATGTATATATTCATTGGTATACTTCAGTTTATCCAGGTTCTCAGCATAAAAAAAAGAGACTGAGAAGGTTTTACAGTCACAGAATCACAGAATGTTGGGGATTGGAAGGGACCTCAAAAGATCATCTAGTCCAATCCCTCTGCCAAAGCAGAAATCTAAATGAAATTACACAGGAAGGCGTCCAGGTGGGTCTTGAATGCCTCCAGAGAAGGAGACATTCAAGTGGGAGTGTCTCCAGAGAAGGAGACATTCAAGTGGGAGTGTTTCTGGCTGAGTACTCTTTCAATATTCCAGGAAGTACTTCCTGGGCATTAACAACACTTAATTTTGTTACAGCCAAGCAGCAAACTTCCCTCATGGCTTCTACATGTGAGCCTGCACTGAAACCATTTGCTCATGTGAGAAAGCCTTGAAGCTGTATCATATCGCAGAAAGGTTCAGTATGCCCAATCCAAAAATTTGAGTATGGTAAGGTTTTCCAATATTAGTCTGAGTCCTCTGCTATGAAGGAGGAGGAAGACGAGATAAAGGAAGAAGTGAAAATCTCTGTTTTGGAGAGATTATGGCACAAAGAAATCTCTGGAAAAGAGGAAAAGCCACAAATGGCACCGAAGGAAATCCTGACAAGCAAGGTGCTACTGGGATAGAGAGCTGGTCTGCAGGTTTAAATACGCACCTAAAACCAGTCTTGAGATAGCTGGAAATTGAAATTATAATCTCTTCAGAGAGAAGCAACAAGAAGGAAGAAAATGTGCATTTTTGAGGAAGGAACTATCATTGTAACTTCTGCTCTGCTGGGCACCTGCTTCATGGTGCTTGGGACAGGCAAAGAATACTTTGCTACTGTTCAGACAAACTGAGCTGCTAAAAACCTCTCCTGCCCATATTTCTTCACTCACAGCTAAGTGCCTTCTCAGAGTGATTCACACCTTCCTCTTGCCAGATTTCTGGACAGGTCATTTAGACTGGATAGGCTCAGTTCCCAATTTGTACAAGCGAGATAATGACACTTCCCCAGATGAGAAAAGTGCTATAAGGACAAATCATGGAGGAGTATTTAGGGACAGTGATGACAGAACTATATGAACTCCTAAGGCAGGAACTTTGTGCCCTCCCTAAAAGTAACAAACAAGAACAGCTCTTAGGTAGACAGGATGCACAATGAACACGAGATGGAAGGCCCAAGGTGTTATGCTTACTCCTAAAACACACATTTGCTATTATTTTCTCTGTACTTCCTTCAGGCTATGGTGGCACTACTGAAATAATTATCTTCCTGCCACCTCAACTCAGGAAGGCTGTCAGGAAGCAGGATGAACTTCTTTTATTTTCCCTTGTGCTCACCATCAAGCCAAATGTTTTCATTACTGAGGCAGCTGCTGCAGGAGCTATCTTTCCTTCCCCAGAAAGGACAGAGAGAAGGAATTTAACTGGGGCAGCCGTCACACTACAACACTTTACAAAAAAGCAAATGAGAAGTGATACAGATGCACGATTCCAGCCTGTTTCCTACGAGATGCAGGATGAGAGGTTCAGCTATGAGCCTTGCTTTGGAAAGGAGCTTTGCACAACAGCTCTGCATTTTCAAAGCAAAGGCCAGTGATTTGTAATCTGAAAGGCACAAAACCTGGCCAGGGCAAGCAGTGGCCTTATGGAATGCACTGGCTATTAAAAACAAACAAAAAACCCCCCCCAAAACAAAACAAAACCAGGCCCAGAAATAAAATCTTGAAATACCACTGATGTTGATTCCACTCCTCAGGGTCACCATCTTGCTCTGCTCTCCCTTCACAGATGTCCAGCACTCCTGATGCTCACCATCTCTGGGAGCTGCATCTATCTATACCGATTACTGCCCACCACTGATGGTCAGTAGCTACTCTTCTTGGTAGTAACAGTTTGAGGACATGCTAGCACACACATACTTTCTTTCTGTGGGAATTCAGGAAAATTTAACAACATACTCTGCAATGGAAGGAATGTAAACTGTAGCCTAGTATCTTTTCTTTAAATGACATGATGACATTTTGAATTCCATCTATAGACAGCATAGGAAGTGCTAATGCAACTGCTGAGGTGTACTGCTGATGTTCATTAGCAGTTTGCCACTTCCTACTCAGAATAAATAGGCAGAATGTTCCCTGGAGCCAGGACACAGACAACATAACCAAGAGACGAACAAGTATGCTGAATCCAAAGCGGTGGTTACACTTTATTAGACCTGTCAGTAATTCTGTCACTCTGCAGGAGACACCATCTGAGCTCATGTAACCCAGTATCTCTGCCCCATTAATCCTACCTAACAAGTATGAGGTGATAGGTGTTGTAACTAAGAAACAAAATTAAATATAAAAATCTACATTTAATAAACACCATGCAGTTTATTTAGACACCCTCAGGGAAGGAACCTAGAGTCAACCAAAGGACGATAATCTCATCAATTGTAACCTACATGAGGCCTGACTAAGTAATTTCTGAAGAAGCATAGACAATAGCATGTACTCTGATGCTTCGTTAACAGAAATGAGAACTTTTCTTACATATTTTAGTAGGAAAATCACAATGGAAATACAGGCATTATAAAACAGGGTAATGAAAAGATCTTTAGATTTTTTATTTATAGCATTAAATTAATCACCACACTGATTTTGCAACCAAACAGAATGAAATCACAAAGTGAATAATAATAATAATAATAAAAAAATCTAGCTTCTGTTTTGCATTTTAAATAGGATAGCTTAGGGGCAAGGGCAAAAAAGTTTCCAGATATTTCAGATAGGTGCTGCTTCACAGCATTTCTGTATTTCTGAAAAAAAGCCCCAACCAAACCAAACCAAACAAAAAAAAAACCCAAAACCAAAAAAACCAACAAAAAATCCCACCTTGAATTTCATAAGGAAGAAAGTTCAAACAATCTTAAAAAGATCAGATTCTACTATATCAAGAAAGAGACAGACTCTACCACTACCTGCATGCCCTGTATCTAACATACATCACATAGCATGCTATCAAATTTCAGAAGATGACATTGTCCATCTCTCTAACGTGCTTTTCCATTTTCCTATCAGAACGACAAGAAAGGTAAAGAAAACCCAAACAAATCCTTATTCTCACTAAATAGGACATAAATGAATAACAGCTTCTGAGAAAATGAAGTAAAATCTGACTTCTGCATGTGCATCCCCACACCAGACAGGACGAAGAGCAGAGGGAGAGCAGAGGATTCCCACCACAACATATCTGTGTACAGAGGAGCACATCTCCTGCAAGAGCGTTCATGGCTAACCAAGAACAAAGTGACTGTAAGCATAAACCACGCCTACATCTGTATGCTGTCTGCATGATACTGAATAAAGCTATTCATACTTTAGATATATCCAGAGGGCTTGAAAGTGTTTTTTTATGGCAAAGAAGACAGCAATAAAATAAAGAGTTACTGATGGAGCAAATGGCCACAGCACAGAACTGTGCTTGCAGGGCCTACATAGAGTTTGAACAAAAAGAATTGAAAGATTCAAACCTGTGACCAGTTCTCTGATTTCCAAATCTGTAGTCTTGCGAAGTAACCGTACTAATGCTGGGATACCACCACAGTTTTTCAGGGCAATTTTGTTGTCATCATTTGCCTTCCCATATACCAAGTTTCTCAAAGCTCCACAGGCACTACGGTGGACTTCTGTCATCCGATGGTCCAATAGGTCCACCAGTAATTGTATTCCGCCTTGTCTTCTTATCTGAAACAAGTCAAAGTGATAATAATAAAATTAGGGAATGAACACTGGTATTATATATGCTATTCAATGTAATTAAGCTGTGGTTTATGCAGGCTATGCTCCAGCAAACATATGCTGGTAGCCTTGCAAAGCTGCTACGTTACAGGGCTTTGATTCCTCCTATGACTTTTTCAGTGGCAACACAACTGTACAATGACAAACCTGAACTTCTGTAAAAGCAGTCAAAAGTTCGTTAAGAGTGTAGCCTCATTAAGATTTCTCAAGGTTCATCAACTTTTGCCTTGGCAAGGGTTTCTCCTGTGCTGTAGAAACATCATCTGCTTCAGACTGTAACACATAACAAGCTAGAGGAAAAACCACAAGACTATAGCAAACAAAAAAAAACCCTTCACAGAATTAAGTTTTTAAGAGTCTCTCCTTTTACATTTAATTACTGGGAATGTGAGCAGCCACTATAGTCTCTGTAAGGATGTTGTATCAATAAAACTAGGAAAAGCAAACATTAAAGGAAAAGGAGGAAGTCTGCACAAACATAAAGACAAGGATGATGGATAAATCATGAAAAGCTTGTTCTATTACAATTGAGGGAGACTGTTAAGTTATGCAGGAATGGAAGTCTTATTCATTCCCCCCCCAAAATTCTAATGCAATGTCTTATATAAAATATCATTCTACAAAAAGCTCAAAAACACTTGAGGCAAATCATCAAGAAGGTCAAGAATACCAAGAATAATTTATTATAAAATCTGCAACAAATCCATCTTTATTGTTCTCTGGCACTATTTGCTCCTCAAACAGTAAGCAGTCTTGAATCTAATTTTAAGAAACTAGACTGATTCATAACTAACATCCAAAGAGTACAATGCTCTGGTTTCAAGTAAGTTATATAGACATCTCTGACAAAAAGTTTCTCCGTGTGTGTTGTTGGCTAAGGTGCAAAGCCAGCCAGGCACTTGCGCTGGCCATTTTACCATCTCTAGTAATATTTTGGCTAAGACAGTAAAACAGAGACAGTTAGAAAGTGTTTTCAAAACTCCAGGGAAAGATAAAACATTAATTTTAGAGTCAAATTTCATGATGAAAAAGTTTTGAAGTCTTTGTGAAGTTGTTCTTGCCTGGGCACGCGTTCTTGGGGTTCTCTGCAGGGGGAAGGCTTGGGAGTAGAAAATGGTTAAACTAAGTACACTAAAATTTATTAGAAATTCATGCTCTATCTACTAACTTCAAAATATTAAATTACAACTGACGAATGGCATTTCATGAATCTAACACAAGCTTCAATAAGGCTAAGTGCTGGGTCCCGCACTTGGGTCACAGCAACCCCATGCAACACTACAGGCTTGGGGAAGAGTGGCTGGAGAGCTGCCCGGAGGAAAAGGACCTGGAGATGTTGGTCGACAGCTGGTTGAACATGAGCCAGCAGTGTGCCCAGGTGGCCAAGAAGGCCAATGGTATCCTGGCTTGTATCAGAAACAGTGTGGCCAGCGGGAGTAGGGAAGTGATCGTCCCCCTGTACTGAGCACTGGTGAAGCCACACCTTGAATACTGTGTTGTTTTCAAACAGGGAAGACATTGAGGTGCTGAAGCGTGTCCAAAGAAGAGCAAAGCAGCTGGTGAAGGGTTGAGAGAACAAGTCCTGTGAGGAGCGGCTGAGGGAACTGGGTTTTCTTAGTGTGGAGAAAAGTAGGCTGAGGGGATACCTTATCGCTCTCTTCAACTACCTGAAAGGAGGTCGCAGCAAGGTGGGTGCTGGTCTCTTCTCCCACGTAATAAGAGGAAACAGCCTCAAGTTCCAACAGAGAGGTTTAGACTGGATATTAGGAAAAATTTCTTCACCAAAAGGGTTGTCAAGCATTGGAACAGGTTGCCCAGGGAAGTGATGGAGTCACCACCCCTGGAGGTACTTAAAAGATGTGTAGATGTGCTTAGGGACATAGTTCAGTGGTAGACATGGCAGTGCTAGGTTTACGGTCGGACTCAATTATCTTAAAGGTCTTTTCCAACCTATACGATTCTACGATTCATTGCAAATAACAACTAAAAAATGATTCAGCCTTCGAGGTTTCAAAATCAAGCTATCCAAAACTACTCACTGATAAAACAGAAAGTTCTCTCTTTCTTCTGCTGACTTACCTGGCATATTACTGTTTTTGTAATAACAGCAAGACCCAGTAATAGATCAGTTTTGCTGTTAAAAAGTGTACTGAGGTGTTACAGTATTTAATGAAAATGTTTTAATGTTTATACAGTTACAACCCAGCTTTGGGCTAAATGCTAAAGAAAGCGTTTAAAGATAAACTAAGATATTTCCCCTTAAGTAGGCATTGTATCAGTATACCATGTCCAACTTTATGAGCAATAGGCAGGTCACCTGGAAGACTACAGCAGCCAGCAGTACATGGAGAGTGCAGAGATGTGAATGGACGTTGGTAAAACATAGGAACTTCAGGTGAAAAAATTCATTAATCTTTTTGGAAGTCCATGCTTCTACCGTTCAGAGAAACAATGACATCTTTCAGTTTAGAAACCAAAAAAACAGATCAAAGAAAAAAGATGTTGCAATACATCTCGCTGGTCAAAACTTTACCCATGGGAACAGGACAACATCCAACGAAATCATTTGCTCCTCTCCAAACCAGGAAAAATTTACCAAGTTTACCTGGGAGGGGTGAGATTGGTTTGTTTGCTTGTTTTTACAGTCCGTGACCATTTAATCTTCAGATTAAAATATATTTGCTTCCCCTACTAACCAGATTTTCAAAACCAAGCATACTACATGAAGAGCCACCTACATGACAAAATAGATGACCTTTACTGAAATAGACTAGGAACAAAAATTTATGCTTCACTTCCACATAAGGTGAACCAACCACTGAGCTTCACACTTCAACATTTGAAAAGAAACAAAATCTGACAGAAGAAAGAATACAGTTAAAAAATGCACAAGTTCTTCTGGTGTGATGAGTAGTATCAGGAACAAGAGAATGAAAACATGTCTGTTGATCTTTGTGAATTACATTTTTAAAGCACAATATGCTGAATAAGTATTTTAATTGCTTCACTGCTAAAAAAAAGATTATGAATGAGAAAAAGTATAACTTTTTAGCAAAATCATTCTTTGTACTACAATTCATCTGAAGACTCAAAGGGCTCTGCCTCTGTTCAGAGACACACTGTGCTTGTGTAGTCTTCCCCACTCTCCCTCTAGGATACAGCCAAGTGGCATCTCATGCTCCTCAGCAGTTTCTCTTGTGGATGCTCTCAAGTGACAGGTTTTGTATCTTCTGTTCATTTCTAAGGGAAAATGAGTGGTTCTGCCACGCTCAGACAGTACTCCTGAGCTGCACCTTCCCTTTTCAGTGATGGTATCTGACAGCACACTAGTATTCAGCTCATGCAGCTCCTCCCCTCCCAGGAACCTGAAGTCAGCAGCAGACTGAAGTGATTCAAAGATACTTTCTTAAAAGCAAGGGCATTAAATATTCATCTAAAATGCATTTCTGTCAGAAAAAAATATGGGTAATACAACAGAAATGAAATGGATGTTACATAACACTTTACCTAACTTGACAAAATTTCTTAAATATTACTGAAGAAAGAACCTATTCTTATCTAGGAAAGACAGGATTTATTTTGCAAACTTTATTTGAACTTCCAGGCTCAGATACTTGCAAAGTGGCTGTGTCACACAGGCAGAGATGAGGCTGATTCTTCACAACTGGGAGCTCAGTTTCTGATGCTGTTCTTTAACTGGATTACTGTCCTGCTTTGGTTTTGTTTTTCCAGCAGCTCATTATTCACTAGAATTCTCATCCCATCTTTGTGTTTCCACCACATATCTCTATAGCTGTTTAATACTATCTTCTCCAGCAGGTTCAACTATGCCTGACAAACTGTGAGACTGTGATGGATGTTACCAGAATCTATTTACATTTATGGAAACTGAGGCAAAGGGTATTAAATTCTTTGTTCAAGTCCTTCATGGAGTTAAGAGCCACAGCCTGAAGGACAATTCTGACCTAGTGAGTCTCCTGGGGCAGATCTCAGCTGAGCTGAGTTGTCACAGCTCCAGTGAGTTCAACAGCAGCACTACTTGTCTTTGCCAAGAATACCAGGATGGGTGGATAAGCAGCAATTTTCTCCAATGGGGCATCAAAACCCACTCCCCCAAAGGACTTTCAAGAAATCCTTCTCTCTCCTGACTTTATATGAAGAGAACATTTCTTAATGTAATATTTATTGATACATCACTGGTTGCTCCCTTGCTATATCTAGGAGAAAAAGAAAATAGAATATGCTAGAGTCTGCTTCCCTGCTACAACCAAATAATCAGTATAGTACCAAGTTATCAGGAGATACAGGAGACCAACTCTGTTCTCCCACAGACCAATCCCAGAGTAGCCACTTCTGAAGTAAAAAGAATTACCTTCAACTTGCAGCACAACTGATTTCCCCAGTCATATCATAAAGTTTATTCTTCCTGTCTTGAATTTATTGTCCCCTTTTTCATGCCATCTCCTCTCAAAATTAAATAAATAAAAAAGAGGATCAGACTAGAAGTATTAAAAATGCTGGGTGAATCCATGCTGTAGTGTTTCTCAAGTGACTCTTTTAACCTGTGGACAGCATTAATTACTGAATGTTCTTTCCTTTTTTCTTCTCACTAGAACTATTTTGAGTATATCTTCGTAAGATGCCATCAAAGAGTTGCTAAATAAACACATCCGGCTGCATTCTTTCACACGTGGCACTATGGAGTTTATAGCAAGCCCTAGCAGGACCAGGAATCCCAGCATGCATAAGCCTGAATTAATTCTGTTGAGTTTAGTTAATAACAACTCAGTGTAAACCTGTGCTGATCAAAGTAAAAACTGAAAGAATGGAGATTACATGAATTTTGTAATGAAAAACTTTTTGTGGACAAATTCACAGAGCTGCTTTCCTCTGATGAATCATGTGTTTTCTCTTTCCAGTAAATTTTTAGAATTTCCTTTTAAAAT